GGACACCTAGCATAGAAGTAATTTAGCTTACGATATCTTGTTGAGCTTTACCCACTTGTTCTTTCAGATTATTTTGTATATCTTATAGGCGATCCTCTAAATTCTTTTGAGCCTTTTCCATATATTCCATTCTTTTTTCCATTGTTTCCTTGACTCTACTTCGTGTATTATACAAATGTGATGAGTTCGGAGCTAGTATAACCCCGAGTAATGATCTTCATTAAAACTTTTAACGTGTTAATGTATGTAAAAATGCAAAAAATGCAATAACATAAATACGAATAAATATACAAAATGCATGAATGCAAATGTATTAATCCAAAAGGTCAACTATCATAGAATACTTCAATTCGGAAAGCAAAGTTAAGTACAAGATGACCAGACTCTACAAGTATGGTTTGGTTTTGTAATCGTTATCTTTGTAACACTAATGAAATTTTTACTTCAGGTCGTGCCCTAAATTCTACCAAATCTCTTAGAGATCGGATATTTCATTTCGATTCAGAGAAACAGAAGCGTAAGCAAACATAATTGAAACATAACCAATAGGCAGAATACTTCCCTCCTGGTGTTGTAAATCCTATAACAACTGACGTACTTCAAAGATAGGGGTCATCTGACTTGTTTTCTTTGTTTCCATTTACTTCCAGTTTTCCAAAACTGATTGTTGACCAGAGATTGAATAACAATGTTTAAATGATGATGTGATGTAAATGATAGACATAAAATTAAGAAAATAAACAATCGAGTCAGTAGAGAGAAATAAACAATAATAACAATAGCAATAACAATAAGTCCTAGTCCTCATGATATCTAGTTCGCATGTGAATAAAATAATAAAAAAAGGTAGAGATGATTTCTCTTTTGTGTGTTTATTCAGGTACTTAGGGAAATTTTGGTAGAGTCGCATCAGGTAGATCTATGGTTTAGTATATGTTGAGTTTTGGCTCTAAAGAATATAGGTACTCGAATCATCCTCGCTGCCACCCATTGGGCTAGTCAAACCCTCGATCCTCACCAATTACAAGTTTGCGGATCAAGTTCGATTTCGAGGGGATGCATTTCCCTATGCATGACACGAGGAATAAATTTTCATGAAGACATAGGAACTCTGGACCTCGAAGGCTAGTCGCTAGGTCTAACACGGAGATAAATTCTCACGAAGACATTGCTTTCACCCCTCACTTAATAAGGGACGAGTCAAGTATAAAGCTCATGTCATGAAATACACGTGAAGTGTGTGAGGTGAAATTCTCAAACCTTTAAATGAAGAAAGAAAAAGAAAATAACCAAATTTTAATTCTTAAATTTTAATTAGGGACAAAGTATAATTGTTTTTACGGTCAGGCTCACTAAGAAACCAGAGATTCTGGGTTCGATCCCCAACAAAGTTGTCAAGCTGTCATGATGACTTTTTCGCTTGGCGAGGATTTGGAGGTCGCATGTTTGACAGAAATAAAAAATGTTTGGAAAAGATTAGTGGTCTACGTTTTAAGAGATTCTAGGTTTACGCTCGGGGAAGGATTAGCACCCCGCAGCGCCCGAAATCGGTACCGTCAATTATACTATTGTCCCTATTATTAGAAATTTAAGAATTTAACTTTATAATCCATTAATTCTCAAAATATTTTAAAAAAATAATTTTAGAGAAAAATATCATCATTATTTATTTCCAATTAAAGAAGAAAGTAACTCCCTAGTTATGTTAAAAAAATATTTCTTATGTTTTAATTAGAACATTAGAAGATTATTTAGTTTCTAAGTAATTAAAAAACAAAAAAATGTCTATTATTATTTCTAATTAATGAAGAAAGTAACTCCCTAGTTATGTTAAGGACATTATTTCTTATGTTTCAATTGAAATAATATTTTCATTTTCTATATTTTTTAAAAAAAATTAAGAAAAATACGACACAATTTGTTTATTTCTAGTTAACGAAGAAAATAACCCCTAGTTGTGTTTAGATGATCGTTTCTTATAATCGGATTAAAAATGTTCAAAAAAATATCATTTGAGTTTTGATAAAAAATAATAATAATCCCGACAAAGACTAAAATTAAATACTTAATTGAATTATTGAGGAAATGAGGAATTAACATTTATTTATTAATAAATGGGACCTAATTTAATTTTAAGTGACCACTTGGAAAATATTTTTTTATTTACTAATATTAAAACTGAACGTCCAGTTATGTTAGGAGCGTTCTTTGCGATATTAGGAAAGAAACAAATATTTTTAATTAATCTCAATTATGTATTTTAAATGAGCTTCTATTACTTTTTAATCTAACTAGTCTAATTAAACTTAAAGGTTTATTTTTAATCTAACTAATCTAATTTAATAAATAAAAAGAATCTAAATCCTAAAGGCTCTAATTAAATCAAATAAGTGACTAAAACTAAATAACCTAAAATCTAAAGTCTTTATCACATAATTAAACAAGTGATTAGAATAGAAGGATTAGAAACTAGTGTTCACATGAAATAAATAGACACATTAACAAACAAAATTGAAAGAGAAGGCCAAATTGAATTGAATTGAATATTGAAAACACATGAATTGTAATATGATAGTGACCAAAATACATAAAATGAAATTCTACATCCTGGAGTTAAAACACGTGTGAAAAAAGGGATTTATGAAACAATTGTCTCAATAATTTCATGCTAATATAAAAGCCAAAATTTTATGACAATGTTCATTTTCATCCAAAAAAAAATCCCTCACTCTCTCAATTCTCTCAACCGGCCATACACTATCCCCTCTTCTCTCCTCCATGTTCATCACATATTTATTTTTATTCATCCCAAAACTCATCCTAAAACCTCATTTAATCCATCACCAACACCCAAATAATTCCAAAACATGTTTCTTTAAGATCAAAACACACAAATATCTCAAAAACACAAACACCTCCAAAATCCTAAAACGTTCCTCCTCTATCCTAACACTAAACCCAGTTTCAAGAGAAACCACCCATCTTCAACCTCCTAACTACCCAAAATCATTACCAAACCTCCGATGGTCACCGGCCACTGACCTTCGTCCGGCAACCACATCACCATCGACAACCACAAACCGTCGACCACCCAAATCCGACGACCTCCTATTTTACTCGAATAAAACAAAAGTCCAAAGCAACAAACAAAACTCACCTTCTATGCAAGCCTTCAAGAAAATCCCGAACCTCTAACGATATTCTAGTGAGACTCCAATGAGGGTATCTACCTTACTTATTTTTCCTTATTTTCTTGAGTGTAGTTAATGCGTTGTTAATCCGTGATGATTATTATGTGATTAATGCTCATTTATACTAATAAATGACCTTGGTTTGTTACTAATCCCGCTTAAAGTTTGTTACAACTAATTCTTTCAACAAACTTCATTCTTGAGATGCTAGACGCTTTCTTCCAGCTTTAACAATATATTTTGTGATTTTTGATGATTTTTTCGGTTCAAAACGAAGACGACCGATGACCGTGCCTGGAAGATGGTGACACGTGAATGCGCTGACAAGGCTCCGGCGACACTCCAGTGTTGACGTGGCTCTTCCTTTGCCCTTGGATCTAGATTTAATCAATGATCCACACAAATTTATGATCCTTTCACTTGGATGGATGACATGGCACGTTCTAGAAAATACCAATGTCATTAATTGTCATGGACCCCACCATTAATACTTGTATCTTCCCAAAACCCCAAAAAGTCAAAAGTTCCTCCAAAACACAAGCAATGAGCGGCAAAGCTAGAGCAAAATTAAGGTTTCCATATTTTTGAAGTAAAGTGGGCTTAAAATATAATGGACTTTGTACATTTTTGTAAAATGGGTATTTATTTTGTAAATAGACTCGTATGTAAATGGATTCATTTATTTATGGACTTTATTTATTTAACATATTGTGTCTATTATTTATAAAATAAAATAGGCTAACATAGTTGACTTTATTATATTTATATACTATATTCTAACATTCAAGTTATATTGTAATTAATATGAATATTGCATGCACATCAAATTAATACAAAACATATAACTAATATAATATGTACGTCAATTCTATGTAATATGAAAACCCTTATATCATATAATATATGTTTAATGTGTAATACTAATGAAACAACTATACATTTAACACAAAAATTATATATCGCTATTATATTCACAAAAACTACATACTAATGCTAATACTATATTAAAAAACTCAAACTATATTTATTCCATAAAAATTATATTAATACTATATTTAACTAAAAAATCAAAAATTATATTTAAAAACTATACACTATATATATTGTTAACCATAAAGCACATTAAAAATGCCACAATTACCCGGATAAAATGGGTGACTACACTCACCGTTGTTGAGTTGTTACTCCCCTCTCTAATTGTATCCTTAACACCCCTTGGCACTGCCTCAGTCCCTTCTATAACCACCATTCTCCCCAAGTGAATCCACGTGTCGCATCATCAATGGACAAACCACTATTCTCTCCGAGGACCTCATAATGACGGAGTAAAGCAACTCAACTGAAAAACCTTTCGCTTCACGAAGCAATATATATGTATATTAAAAAGAAGGCTATAAGTCCTTAGTTATCATCTTCTGAGATCGCCTCCAGATTTTCTCTCCGTAAGTTCAATCTAAACAAGCGATGGTGAGTTTTGCATTTTCCTTTTTCCTTCTTTTATTTGTTTCTGCTTTCTTATTTTTCTTCTTAGTTCAATCAGTATTTGTCTGATCTATGCTTCATTGACTAACTCTTGATTTTTCTTTTTCAAAATATAAATCTAATTTGTCATTTACTTTGAACATAGATCTTTAACTTAGTTTGAAATTTTAAATTATTTGAGTACTGGATTTCATTTCTGGAATTTGTAATCGGGTAGATGATTCGATGATAGAATAACTGTTCAATGTTTGATATCTTGCTGTTGTTTTGGATTTTTGAATTCGTAGCTAGTTTGAGAGCTTTTTGCAGATTAAACAGTTGCTTCTGCTAACATCCATGGATATCTGACATTTTGATTCCTTTGGGAATTTCTTTTTTGAATACTAATATTACCATGAAAGGCGATTTTGTTTGCTTGTGGAACTCCAAAATCGGAGCGAATATAAGCTTGTCGTATCCTTTGCGGAACTTCCCCGAACTTGGCTGCTCCAACGTGAACAAGATCCCAAGTGGATACGATGTCGAGACTTTGATACTGGAAGCGTTAGCCGAATCGAGAGCAGATGTGAGCGCTTTCATGGCGGGCAAAAGGTGAACAATGAGGGTTTTATCTGACGTAGCCATGATTTCATTCCCGAAGGTGATGTATCTGATGACTGTTTTCGGGTGATACGACAATATGTTCTTTTCGATCCAAGCTTGAGCTCCTGGGAGTTTAGCGAGGGATGGGATGTCAATCGTTTCCGACTGTAACGGTAACAAAGATTCCCGTGCCAACGAAAGATTTAAGGATGTCGGGATTCGAGTCGAATATCTTAATCCAGTCGATGTTTGTTTTGCTTTTGAGAAAGTTTGCCACTTGTGTCGGAGTTGGGAGTTGTCGGTGAGGGTTCCATAGTTGACACTGATTGAGTATGCGGCGGTTGTAGTGAAAGAGAAAAAGGAAACGTGGCAGTTGAATAAGAAGAGGAAGAATAAGAGCTTAGGTGCAGAGAGGGTTGTCATTTAGAGAAGGTTTCCATTTTCTTATCTCTGAGAGAAACAGAGGCGATACTGATTGATGAGTGAAACTCTAAGCTTTGGTTTAAGTATCAGTTATAATCCAATGACTTGGGATAACACTAAATGTATTATTTTTATTATATAAATATTACGCATTGAAATACTCTATGCGACATGTATATGCATATAAACGAAAATATTTTTGTTTTCTATAATATAAGAGAAAACCAGGGTTTGGGGCTAAACTATATGCTCGAGAAAAAGAATGATATGTTGATAGTGATCCTTACACGTTTCGGTCAACATTGAGAGAAAATACTGAAACGTGTTATTTTTTCCAATTATTCCGTGCCTAATTTGATTAAATAGATCTTATTGCTTTAGCAGCCACTTCCATTAGAGGGATTTGGGTTCCAAAAAGTTATGATTGTATTTAATGATTTCAGAATATGGTATTAAATACAAGGGTAAATTATATGTTTAGTATTTAAATTATCAGTTTTTATCCATTTTAATACCTAAATTTTTAATATTTTAAAATCATACACAATGTTTAGTTTTTGTTTTATTTTATTATCCCGTTCAAAATTTAACATTTAATTTTGAAAATTTTGATAGTTTAGGTATCAAAACGGACAAAAATTAATAGTTTAAGTACTAAACGATTCAAGTTTATAATGACATGATAATAAAATGAAACAAAAAATAATAGGTATGATTTTGAAAAAAAAAGTTTAAATATTAAAATTGATCAAAACTGATAGTTTAAGTACGAAATTTATAGTTTAAAAAATAAAAGTTTTTTTTAAAAAAAAATAATAGGTATGATTTTGAAAATAACAAATACGTTTCCTTGAGTTTTTTTAATAGTGTATGGTTCAAGTTTTAAGTAAGTTTTTGGGTAGACTACATATTTAGTACTTAAACTATTATTTTTTCATATTTGGGTACTTATATTTTCATTTGTTTCATAATTGTATATAACATTTATTTTATGTTTCCTTTTTTTAATATATCGTACATGACATTTTCTATGGGTAAATTATATTATTCATCAGTTAACTATCATCTCACTCTTATTTTGATCACTAAAATTAAAAAAAAATTAATTTAACTACTCAACTTTCACATTGCTCATATCTTAATCACTCTAATTTATTTTAGGGTAAAGTATAGTAATGGTCACTGGACTTTTCTAAAGCTTTCATTTAGGTCCCCAACTTTTAAAACTTGTAATACATTTCTCCAACATTTAGTCCATTTGCAATATGGTCCCCGCCGTTACACTACCGTTAGTACGTTTGCAATATGGTCACTGAACTTTTTAGGCACTTGCATTTAGGTCCCCCAACTTTTAAAACTTGCAACACAGTTCTCAATTTCATTCTAAACCCCATATTTTCTTTTCGATATCAAATTTCCTTTTTCACTTATCTCTTTTAATTTTCAGCATAACTTTTCAGTCGGGGATGCATAGGAAATTCTAATCTAACTTTGAATTATGTGGAGGTGTTGAATTGAATAAAGGTCCATTGAGAAAATACCCGACCAAGGGACTATCAGGACTATCAACGATTCAAGGTGTAATGTTAGATACATGTCATCTTAGGTGAATCATAGATGTTCGATGAAATGCTTGTGAGAAAAAAATGGGGTTAGAAATGCATAATTGACAAATAATACTAAGATGAACTAAGTATCATTGTTGAAAGTCACCAACAAAAAAAGAAATTATTTTGTATAAATGACATATAATAATTTGTTGAGTTAATCGAATGACGAAATTGGCCAAGAGGGGGGTGAATTGGCAATAAAAATTTTGTGGAAGCTTTTGCAGAAAATTGAAAATAATTGCACAGCGATTTACAGTGGTTCGACTTTCTCAAACAAAGTCTACGTCCACTACCTTAGCTATCCACACTAAGGATTTTCCAACAAATTCACTAATTTGTTCTTTCTTTTGAGGCCAAAAAGATAACCTTACAATTCCCTCAAGAGTATACCCCAACTCTTGAGAACACTCTTTTCTCAAAGAGAAGATTACAAATTTGCAAACTTACAAGAAAACCTCACAAGGTAAGATGTTTGCACAATTCTAGAACAAAGAAAAGAACACTCAAAGATGAATACAATTGAGCACAAAAAGTGTTCTTGAAAGCAAAATGAATATTGAATGAAAATGGGCTTTGAAATGCTCAAACTTGAGGTTTGATGCTTTCTCTTTGATTCTCTCTTGATTCTAGTTGCTTGATGTTTCTTGTTTTTGATCAATGGCTTCTAAGCTTGCTTAAATACACCTTGGATCACTTCTGAACGTTGGGGATAATTAGAGAAGATATTATAGCTGTTTTAGTGTGAAAACATTTAATAAAACAGCTTGGACAGTGGGGGGAATCGGTTCCCTCTCATAGGGAATCGGTTCCCTAAGTGTAAAATTCAAATATTTCGACCGTTGAATAGGGGGAATCGGTACCCCCTTGGGGGGAATCGGTTCCCTCCGAGCATTCTGGAAATCTCGGAGCCAAACCATTCAGGGGGGAATCGGTTCCTCCTATGGGGGGGAATCGGTTCCCTCTGAGCAATCTGGAATTTTTGGCTTTGAATTGGTTCGAAATACTTTGTAAAATTATTTTGAAATTGTTTTATGATTAAAACTTAATTTTACACTTAAGTAAGGATCAAAAATGATTTTTGAAATATTTGGAGTAATGTTTTGATATTCGAATAGTTATATCGAATATACTTAGAAAATCATTTGGAAAATCTTAAAATCCATTTAACTCAATTTGTTATATCGAAATATTAAAATGTTTCAACAATCTCCCCCTTTTTGATATAACAAAACATTTTAGTAATTTTAAGATTTTTGAAATCAAGTTTTGAAATTACTCCCCCTTACTTTAACACTTCTTCAATTTATCATGTAAAACATTTAACACTTATTCTTCTCCCCCTTTTTGTTAAATCAAAAAGTCATTGTAAAACAAGGTTTTGAAAATCAGTTAGCCAATTGATTTATTAATTATAAGCTTAAGCTGCTAAGATCACAATCAAAAGAGAGGTTAGCCATTAGTTTCATAAATCAATATTCATAATTAATGTGATATGGAAAAATTGGTCATATTGCTAATGATAATGTAAATGATGCAAAAATGAATGAAACACACCAAACATATAAGTTCATACCATTCATAAATCCAAAATCCAACAATCCACAAAATCAAACAATTCAAAATGTTGAAACAATATTCATTTTGTTCAAAGTTTTAAAGCTAAACATAAAATCAAGCATCCAGATCGGTAGGAGGAAAACGGGCTCGCATAGCAGCCATTTCATGAGTTAGTTCATTGATACGAGCGTTGGTTGATTCATTGTTTGCACGCATCTCCCGAAGAATCTCTAATTGTTGAGCTCCCATTGTGGATAAATGGGACTCTATAGAGAAAAAGCGCGAGTCCATGGTAGCGTATCGGAAATCGAATGTCTCCATAAAGGATTGAAAATATGGAGGCATTTGATGCGTTTGTTGTGCTTGCTCCTCGGGCTGCTCTTCGGGCTGATCAGGCTCATCTTCGGCTTCATCGATATCTTGCATTAATTGCTCGAGCTCGGGATCTTCGTCAGCTTCGGGTGGAGATTGTGAAGAACTAGCTCCCGGAGTAGAAGATCGAACCCATTCACCGGTTTCTTTGTCCTTTACCCATCCCGCTCTCGTTAAGGAAAGAAGATTTATTTGTTTCTTAAGAGGAAAAAATGGCATCTAGACCGACTCTAAGCCCAGCTTTGGAAAACAGATTACTCAAAAAGCAACCGTAAACTAGAGATGAACAGTGTTTCTTGTTAGGAACAAGATTTACGGTTTCAACAATTTCAGCAAAAATGATCTGAGGTAGGTTAATTTTAATACAGTTTTCGAAACAATGTAACCACCAAAGATCCAAAGCTCTAAGAGTAGAATAACGACCTCCGGATGGTCGAAACCACCAAGAAATCATTAGATGAAGAAAACGCTCATGTAGGTCTAAGACACTCGCACTATCTCTTCTTTTATAACGAGAACCTAAAATTTGTTTTTCATTCGAAATACCATCATTATCTAATCCAAATGTATTGGCTATATATGCCGGATCAATATATAAGAATTGTCCTAGAAGGTAGGAACGAATTCCTATGGTTTCGGTTTCAGCTTGGTTTTTAACACATACGGCATTAGAGTAGAATATACGAACAAGTTGATGGTAAACGATGGGTTCAAGATCAAATAGTTTATCAAATTTCCATTCTTGTAAAATGGGAAGATATTTAAAATCGATAGCTAACATAGCTTGACGAGAATGAATACGTTCTTCCCGGATTTTGTAAGAATCGAAATACTGATAATACCAATATCGGTGATTTCTAGAGCCAGTATGATTGAAACACGAATTTTGGATAGTCAAGTTAGGATCAGTGGGATTGGGATTAGAAATTGGAATAGAATGAGGATTTGGAGGTGGATTTGGTTGACGACTAGAACGACTAGATGAAGACCTAGGTCGTTTAGGATTTGACATGGTGAAGGAAATCGGAATAGATAGAATAACCTGCAATTTTAAAACAAATGTATGCAATTCAATTAATCCCAAAACTCAAATGAGTCCTCAATATTTCAAGATTCTCTAAATCAATCCTAATGGGCAAAGTTTTTGAAAAACTTTTGAAAAAAAATATGGTTTTGAGAAACAATATATGTATAGTTTTTCATAACAACATAATTTAATCAAAACACAATAATTTGAAAAATAACATTTTTTTTATTATTTCGAAAAATTAAAAAAAATTTGAAAAATTCTTGTGTTTTTGATGAAATTAGTTGTAACATCTAGTTTCTAATCACTAAATAATCAATGCCCGATCACTATTTCAACCTAGAACTAATTGAAACTAATCCTATGTTCAAAAATAATGAAATAAAGAGTTTAGAAAAATTTACCTTGAAAGATGAAGATTGAGGGGATTTAGA